GTTACCCGTCACCCAAACTCATAGTACTACGGTGAACCAAGATTCCTCCGAGTTGTGCTGACTTCTGCCAACGAAGCAGAAGCTGTCCTTTTATTGACAGCTCGCCTCCGGAATGGGTCATGTTCCATCCGCCTATTCCCGGATATTCCGTGGGACGAGCGCATAAAGGCGAAGTACCACTTTTATGAGAACCGGAAGGAATCCGTAGCCATGACCATCCTTGTACACCGTGTTTCCGAGGCCGGAAGTCATGATTAGCGCGAAGCGGCCTCTCACGACCAGGAGCAATGGCGGTACATTTGAGAGACCTTCTACCTAGAAAACGTCATAGCACAATCATTCCCGAGGCTGTGCCGATCGTCAGACTACAAGGGATGTAGACCGAGGATTGTGAAATTGGTCACTCAATCTAGACAAATGTCAGTAATAGTAGTGGAGGAATGGTATACGGGCTGCAGCAGCCCTCCAAGCTCCGGATCAAAGTATCATTTGCTAAGCAAACACACTAGAGCAGCCATTTAGCCAGACCACTTACCGACAATAGTTCGGATAACTTCAACTTACTAACCAATGAAATTGGCAAACACGTCCCATACATTCTATACAAAGCGGGAAGCAAAGAGGTTATGGTAGCATCCATGAATCGGACACAGATAAGTTCGTTATGCCTCCACCCAAAAAGCGATTATTTGCGGACCTTTTACCGGTTGATACAACATTGTATCCAAAGCACCCATCCCACGATTCATTGCTAAAAACAGATAAAGTTTCCTGCATGTACACTAATGAATAATGTCTCCTGAACAAGCTTGCCGAACTGCGGCTACGTCAAGCGCCACATGGCTAGCACCTCATACTCCTTACGGAAACCTGGTCGCACACAGAAATTACCGAAGCCGAAGTCGCGATAAATGGTATGTTCCTTCTCCGAAACGATCGAACTAGCAAAGGCGGAGGGGTAATCTTATACTGCCGCAGCGACCTACAGTGCGAACTGGTGGCCGATCCGGAAACGCTGACCATAGACTCACTCTGGTGAAGTCTGCAACTAAGACGCAGAAACTTGTCTTTTGGCTGTGTTTATCCTCCCACAATGTCCACCCCAGTGATGGACTCCCGCCTGACATTTTCCTTTGGAAGGTTCCTACGAGGACGATACAGTCATGTTCTTATTTCAGGCGACTTCAATCTTCATGATTTGGAAGTTCCAGCATCCGCCAACGAGCAGTTTAAGGCCAAACAGCAAGGTTTTATTGCAAGCATTCAGCTCTTCAGCCATGTCAGTTCACCCACTCGATTCAGAGAGGGAAATAATTCAGCTGTGATTGAGATAGTGCTCACAAACAAAGAGCTCATGGTTAAAAAAGCAAGGAGGGAGAGCCCTCTGGGGCGAAGTGACCACGTAACCATAAGTGGCGACTTCGTGTGTTTTACGGAGTATCCACAAGAACATACTAACTTGTTTCGAACAATCACCTACTACGACTGATACGTATTACTCGTGTATTGCTGGATCACACCTGGACTCTTAGTCCGCGCAAGAAGTGAATTAGAACACACACCGGATGGGACGTGTCAAAAACTGTAATAGATAGCTTGTAG